ATGACCATGATGTGGAACATGTTAAAATCAGATAGAACTACCCAATGCCAGATGTGGATTGTTTTATAAATTCACTCTGTGGCTTAAGGGTACACACAACAATGGTGGTGGTGAAAGAAATGTGGCCAGATACTAGCAGCTTTCTCCAGTGTAGTTCTTCTTTCTACCTGCCTCTTTTTTTTTTATCCCACCCTCCCTGGATCCCAGGGCACCATACGTGGCTCTCCTTCCCTGTTTTCTCCTCCCAACAACCCTGCGAGGTAGGTTAGCTGAGAGAGAAAGAACAACCAGAGGTCATTTAGGAGGCAGTCCTGACCAGCTGTACTCAAGAGAGCCGGTTTGGTATAGTGGTTAGGAGCATGGTCTCTAATCTGGGAGAACTGGGTTCGATTCCCCACTCCTCCACATGCAGCTGCTGGTGTGACCTTGGATCAGTCACAAGTTTTCTCAGAGCTGTTCTCTCAAGGACAGTTCTCGAAAGAGCTCTCTCAGCCCCACCTACCTCACAGGGTGTCTGTTGTGGGGAGGGGGAGGGAAAGGAGATTGTAAGCCACTCTGGGACTTGGTAGTGAAGGGCAGGGTATAAATCCAATATCATCTTTTCTTTTTCTTCAAATTGAATGCTGTGAAATGTGGCTTTAGCTAGGTTTTCCAATCTCCAGGTGGAGCTTGGAGATCTCTTAGGACTACAACTGATCTCCAGGCGAAAAAATCAGTTCACCTGGAGAAAATGGCTGCCTGGGAGGGTGGACTCTATGGCCTTGTACCCCACTGCAAAACCGGGCCAAGTTAAAGACATACATACTCGGGGGACTCCAGAGATATGAATAAAATATGCATTTGACAAATGAGCAAGTGCGGGAGGAAAAGCAAGAGGGTGTAGAAAGAACGGCTTGTCCCTGAAAACTCACAGAATCCAGGAAGAGAGTTGTTAGTGGGATTTCGAAAATATTCCTCTCTTCCTGAAATTCATCATAGACCCCTCTAGCTTGTATGTATACAACACTGATATTGGTCTTGCTAGCCACAAGAACTGACAAAGGTTGCCGGCCTCCAGGTGGGACAGCAATACAAAGAGAGAGAGAGATCACATTAATAACCAGAAGCAAACAACGACAATGACCATGACAAACCATTCCATATACAATGATTTTTTATTTATTTTTTTACCAATTGTAATTGTAATGGTACACAAATAATATAGACAAACTGTTTTTCAACTGAACTGGATTCACGGGACTTTGCCGTTTTGAGGTTATAAACTGATTGAAAGATTCTCGAAGATGTTATCGCATTAACTAGACGTGTGATGATGTTGAAGCGATGAAGTGA